GTCCTGATGCTAATGAGTCGTAGGAAATGACTGAAAATATTTGTTCCCGGGAACAAGCGGCTGAAATTATCTTTCAGAGATGAATATATGGGGTAGTGCGTCTCGACATATTTCGGAGTTCAGATTTCTAGGGAGACTCAATGTAGAGTCACTGCTTCGGCAGATTAAAAACTCACAGCTGAGATTGCTTGGAAGAATTTTGGCCAAGCTTCCAAATAGGAAAGCCAAAAAATATCTTGCCGAACTACTGGCCGAACCGACTAATAGAAAACCCAGAGGAAAGCAAAGAATGGTCTTTGACAGACCCTGCCCAAGACTTAGGTTATCTTTTGCCGAAGCTACAAGAGCGGCATATGATCAGTAGGTTGAAGGTACTACGAGTAAAAGGGATAAGCAGCCATCGAATGTTATTTGCTATGTACTGATTTGTCCTACCATCAGGACCAAATGATTACCGAAAGAATCATAGTTTGTTTTAAGAAACTGTGAATATACAGCATGACTATCCTACTGAGATAATGGCATATGGTGGACCAAGTGTGACAACTTTTCAGGTTCCCTTCAAAATACTAACATGGCGTTTGCTGCAACAATGATGACATTACCATTAGCATGTATTCACAGGTAGAATGAACCAAATAGCATTTTGGCAAAGTTTAGGTAAAAGTTACGAGTTTTATGTATTTGTTAGGGCATTTAATATTTTTAGAATCCTTTATTTGCATCAAAAGAAACGACACTTTCAAAGGTAAAAGCGAGCGGAGATGAAAAATTAATTTCAAATTTAATGCCAGAAAATGAACTGCAACCGTAATATGCTCAAACACTGAACTAAAACCATTTTAAAAGATTAATATTTACAAAGAACCCAATGTCGCCACACGTAATATCCTAAGCACCAAAAATCAACTATGTAATAACGAATCCACTTCCTCAGCAGCGTTTTTCAGCCTTAATGACCAGAAGACTCGCGTGTTCTTCAAAGGGTCGAAAAATCAATGGGGGCTTGGCAAATGTTATCACTCGTTGTCGTGCTTGTCCTCCATGGACTCGTCTTTCGCATTCTCTGCAACAGCTGAGCTGCTAACGCCGTTGACGTTTTCCGAAGGATAGTCGCTGGAGGGGGTGCTCTGCGTTGGAGTGCTGCTTTTGTCCACCTTGACACGTTTGTGTTTGGTGCGTCTATTTTGAAACCACACTTTCACCTGTTTGAAAAAACACTTTTAGCACACGGAATGTAAGATTCAGAGACAAAGGCAGTCTGACTATATTTGCTCTAAGGAAACAGAGTGGATCAACGGTAAAGGAAGCAAAAGAAACCTAGTTTGATAAGACAGTAATTTGAGAACATAAGAACAGAACAATATATTGTGTCGATAGTTCACCAAGAACCATAAATATGGGCAGCACGTAAATGCAATGGAATATTCTATTTTCAACCATAACTTTTATTCAACTTCTTCGACAATGTAGAAGATACCAACATCAAAATGCATTTATAACTGCTCAAAAAAGGTATCCTTAACAGCGTAGGACAATGGCGTAAAACTAGGCAGTTCGTGCAATTATTACTGACAGATCACGTATTAGTCACTGCTATTTTAAAACGGCGAAGTCATGAAAAGCATCGAAGTAGTGATTGGACTTATAATTAATTTCATATGTTTTAATATATTAACAGTGTCCTCTGACTGAAATGATCCATAAGTAAATTGAACTATAAAATGTAATGCCATTTGCTTCACTGAGATATAAAAGTCCTCTAACGCACGCTCCGTATTGCGGTCGAGAAACCAGCGGAGAAGAGGTGGCCGTGCTACAGCCGGGAGGTCGAGGCCTCACAGAGCCTTCATCTGGAACCCCATTTGGAAGGGATGAAGGGCTAACGGACGCTGTGTTAAAGATGACTGGAGAGCATAGAGAGGAGACAAAAGCACTTGACATGATCGGATAAAATACAAGATACAGAAAATCATGGCACCCAGTTCACTGCATGCAACTAGACTTTGACTACAGCGGGCCGCATCACATGATCGACAGATGATTGATGGATTTCAGCAATGTCAGTTTGGTAGCCATGGGGCTACAAATGCCCAAATGAAAGACCTGGATTTGGATGGTCTGATGAGTACAACGAGAGAAACGGATGCATCTTGTACTAGATAAATGAACGTGATCATCTAGATATGGCAATAGTGGTTCCCGTAAATTACGGAGAAGCATATGTCAGTTGTTTGTGTTGCCAAAAAGGCCATGTCCATCCGCCAGTTCATTTACATCTCCCGCGATTTCCTTCAGGTCACCCCGAGAACCTGCGTCAGGGGGTTTCTTCAGTGGCACCCGGTGCTCATTGAAAATTTGAAGGCAAGATAATGGAGACCATTACCATCGACAACCCCCTCGCTTATTGAGAATATGTTTAGAAATTTATCAAGCATTTCTTTACAGCCAATCACGAGACCACTTATCAAAAATTGATCAAAAGCTGAATGAAGCAGGAGACGTTCGCATATCTTTGAGAAAATCAGAAATAACTGGTAAAAATGAATGCTGAGCAACATAACGACAGCAAATAAATCAGAAATCAGAAATCAGAAACGGGGCAGACAGTTTTAAACTTTTCTCTCATATACATACTGTGGGTAAAAATCCAACAGTCGCGTTATTTATATTTTGTAAACAAACCAATAGATATACAATACCACTAGTCAGGCCTAGTCTTGATGATGCTACTCTCTATGTAGCGACACGCGTCGGCAATAAACTGTTGTACCATTTGCAATGTGTGGTGTCCTGAACTATGAATCGTTCAGACATTCATCTTTAAACAGCAACACTATTCTATTGTATTATGTTCATACAGTTGTACAGTAATACCTTGACATTCATGTCGAATCAATTCGTTACGGACAACTGCCCTTCGACAGCGTCAACCGTGAAAAAGGACGTGTTTCTAAATGAACTAGATATGCATAACCGCATGGCCGTTGAGAGAAAACTGCAAAATAGGGTGTCATGTGACAGGGAAAAGTACAATGGAATGAATGATCTTGAGTCATTTAACTAGTAATGAAGATCTATATTGAATTTCAAAGCACTCAGATAAGGAGACAATGACATCTGGGGTTAATATTACCCCTCATGCTTCCTAAAAGCAGTTCTGCCTATGAGCGGGGCACTCTTATTGCAAATCCAAAGTGAAAGATTTGTAACCACCACTCATGTTCATCCACAAAGAAAAGTGATAATAT